ATGACTCCACAGCACTCTACCCAGGGTGACAGCTTGAGACTCTGCCTCAAAAAAAAATGTTCATGTTTGGGATTCATGGAGGGTACAAAGAATTGAGTTACACTGATTGCATTTGTTAAAGTCTCTCTTATAATTGTGTTCTGCCCCAAGAGGTGTGCCATACCCCGTGACACCACATCCTCCACCATCTAAGGAAATTTTTTGGTCACTAAACTAGTGAAGTCAGATTTTGAAACTAATTTCCAAACCCGTACAATTTTCAGTATATCACAGAGTTTGTTTCTTTTTTTTTTTTCCTTGGAGACAGAGTCTGTCCCTGGGTAGAGTGCTATGGTGATGTACCTCACAGCAACCTCAAACTCCTGGGCTCAACTGATCCTCTTGCCTTAGCCTCCTAAGTACCTGGGACTACAGACACCAGCCACAACACCAGGCTAGTTTTTCTATTTTTAGTAGAGACATGATCTTGCTCTTGCTCAGGCTGGTATTACATTATTTCTAGAACTACTAATACAAAAAAGTTTTTTTCCGCATTCTCTGACAGCAGTTAAGAAATAAGTTGTGTTTATATACAGAATACTTATATTGTTACTGAGTTACTGCTGTGCAATTTCAGAAACTTCACAGTGTTGTGACAGGTTACTGCAACCTTGGAATCTGCACTCAAGATTCTACTAATCTATACTAAATAATCTAATAGCCAAATACCTTATAGATCCTAGCAAAGAAGTTATATAATAAAAATCACACCTGCATATTGTATAACTACTTACATTTCCTTCAAATGCTTTGTTTCTTGAATAGTTTGAAAAGCAAGTTCTTGTAGCTTTTCTGGGGCAAAGCTGTCACTTATTGCTTTTTGAAATACCTCATGAAGAACTGTACCAATTAGCATTTGCCGTGTGGCTGGATCAGAGCTCTACAAAAACAAATCATACAAATGTTTTCTACAACATATTTTCAGAAATAAATCATACAAACATTTCATTTTACAACATATTAACAGACAAAGACATGATTTTATATTTACTACCTTACCCATCAATCTATCATACCCAAAATAACATTGGTAAGAATAAGTGTTTTGTGACGAGTGGGACTGTAGTAAATTTTATTTTCTTCTATTCAGAATTATCTGAATTATTTCACAAGTATGAGTTATTTTTAAAATAAGTACATTTCCCTAGTAAACAAAATACAACCAATATGAAAGAGTTGAACATATACTCAAGTATTTAATAATTTAAAAATATTCTTCTGAAACTTTTATAATTCCTAAGCATGATTAGCTGTTTACACATATAAGAGGTGCCTACCTCAAACCTTGTGAACAATGTTCACACATTATCCATCTGACATGAAATAAAAAAATAAAAAGCATTCTTCTTAAAGGCTGGGTGTGATGGCTAACACCTATAATTCTAGCACTCTGAGTGGCCAAAGCACGTGGATTGCTTGAACTCAGGATGAGACCAGCCTGAGCAAGAGCAAGAGCAAGATCCCCACCTCTAAAAATAGCTGGATGTTGTAGGGAGCTACTTGGGAGGCTACTTGGGAGGCTACCTCCCGCTACTTGGGAGGCTGAGGCAAGAGAATTGCTTAAGCTCAAGAGTTGGAGGTTGCTGTGAGCTGTGACATCACAGCACTATACCAAAGGCAACACAGTGAGACTCCGTCTCAAAAAAAGAAAGAAATCCTGGGAGGAGAGATAAAACATCCAACAAATAACCCATTTATGTGTTCTTCAAATAAATGACCCTGAAACACAGGATGGATGGAAGGCAGAAGTAATACAGAGACATACATTAAGAACTAACTGAGAACACCATGGAATACTATACAGCCATAAAGAAAGATGGAGACTTTACACCCTTCATGTTCACATGGATGGAGCTGGAAAGTGTTCTTAGCAAAGTATCACAGGAAT